TTGAAAATCCTCACTACAACGAATAAGGTGGAAATAGAAGTGAGGCAAAAAACTACCTCGTCGACAATCGTAGAAGATGGCGCGCCCTCAGCCAAGCTTGCCACCAACGACTCATCCATTTGTGAGGACTTTCCCTTGTCCGAGCGAGAAGATGTTGCCACAACGGGCAGACTCATAGGAGTATCTGCAAAGCTCAAGAGCAACAAATCAGAAACCAATAGCATGAGCAAAGGTAAGACATAAAAAAAAACTGAATTACCTTCTGCTTCGATGTTCGGGGGGGTTGACGCCCTGGGAAGAAGGTGGCTCATCCATGGGTTGTGATGAGGATTCTGGGACTGAAGATGTCTCTTTAAGCGTAGCCCCCTCATCAACCGGTTTGGATGAAGTAGCCTTAGCAGAAGATGATCGAGCAGGAGTTGTCGATGTCAAAGCCTTTGAAGGAGAAGCTGAACTTTTCTGAGAAATCCAAAAGATCATCAGCACACAGAAAAGTTTCAAGTGTGGAAAAGTATACTTGTAAGTAAACCAATTTAATTACCTTCCTCCTGACAATAAGAGGGGCATCATCATCATCATCGACATCATCCTCCAGAATGGGAGATGCTGAGGCTGGCCGTTTGCGGCTTGGAGCACTTTTGGCCGTAGTAGGCTTGGCAAGGAGGGAAGAAGATGGACGAGCAGATTGTTTAGTGCGACGAGAAGGAGAGAGGCTCCGAATAGACAAAGGAGTGACCAAAACAGGAGGAGAAGAAGAAATACTCGGTTGGTCTAATGAATGAAAGGCACGATTGGCCTCAGTCGCAAATAATCTGCGCTTCACCGATGGCCAGAGTTGTTCAAAAAGAGGGTGAATGGCGTGGCTAGAATTGAAAGGGGCCAATGAAAAATGACTGGTTAAAAGGAGATTACGAGCATCTATAGCCTAGCAAGGAGGAACAGGCCAAGTTTGGCCAAAACCAAGCTTGCGAGCAAAAAATTGGGGAGCATAAATCTCTACCCCTGCCTTGGCATTAGTCCCAGTTAGAATATCATGAAATAGCTCCCTCCCGGTTAAAAACTGAATCCAAATGAGCAGGGAGGTGCTCGCGCTATCTATGGTGGAAGGAGGATGTACATAGTTTGGAGTCAAAAAAGGAGGAAAAGGAAAAAAGGAAGAGATTGAATCTAAGGAATAAAAGAATGAAAAATGTTCCTTCTGGACATATTTACAGGAGTTAGGGGCTCCATAGCTAGCCCGTAACAGCTAGCAGAAGGACGAGAAATGGATGGAGCACCAAGCGATGGAAAATAGGATCTCAACCACAGTTGAGTGAACCAAAGAGGTCCACTGCCAGTGGGAGATGCACCATTCTTCAATTGAGCTTGAAGAGAGGCCATGCCTCTATAAAGGGCAGCCAAAAACAAAGAACATAAATTCAAAGGCCTGCCACGCGCCAATTCGTGCGCTATAGGTAAATAACTCAGAGAGGGCTTTATACTTGGCACGCACAAAATATATTTACAAAGCCAAACTAAAAGGAAGGCCACTCGCTCAGCATGGGTAGGCTCAACACTCGAATGATTGTGGAGGGTCTGCAGGCTTGAATAAGAGTCGGTATAGTTTTTACCAAACGTTGGGGCGCCACCAGAAACTAAGATACCTGGGAAAATGGTATCGCCCAAAGGTGGTAGATTCACCAGGGCCCCAACATCCCTTAACGTAATAGACATGGGGCCAAGAGGGAAAATAAAGGTGTTATTCTCAGGGGACCAAAAACTCAAAGCAATCGAAAAGAGCGCTAAATCAAAAGGAGGGGGCGAATAGAGACTTCTAACAAATCAGAAATCCTAGCGCTATCAAAAAGTGCCTTAGTAGGACCATGACCCACAAGACGAGCATGCCACCTACGAAAAGCTACATCAGATTTAGGCCAAGTGCGAATACCTCTTTCGCGAAGTGGCCCCAGCGGTAGAGAGTTCAGGAATGGAGGACCCTGAGTGCAAGAAAACAGCCGACCCACCGCCACCTGTTCAACTGCCTCTGCATTGTTGAAGAAAGGACCTAAGTAGAACTCATTACGTCCAACGTCGGCGGGTGCGAGAAAACTTGGGGTTATGTATGGGCGACTCAGAAGTCTCTGAAAGTCATCAAAACTAAAGGAATCGCTAGCTTGAGATTGTGAAGCAGCCATTGGAGAAGGAACGAAGCTTTTCAGGGTTACGTAGCAAGGAAGCAAAAGATGAACAGTGAATCGTGAAAGAGACGCAAAAAATATGAGGCGTGGTTTGGTAGTAGTGAAATGGCGTGTTTGGGGTTTATAAGGGTTTGCAAAACGACGCACCTTTTCAAGTTATAGAAGGAAACAATGATTGAAATTCTTAGAAATTTCGAACGTTGCTGGAAACACGAAGTGAATATGGCAAAATTCAATAATTATTATTAATTCTGCCATATTGGGGGTAATTGTTGACACATAAAAATTCAGCCCAAATCGAACAGCCCAAGGAGTAAAGCCCAATTGGAGGATCCCCAAATTAGATAGCCCAAAGAACGAAGTCCAATCGAACGAATCAAGGTGAAGGCCCAAATAAGGGGGCCCAAAATGCGGTAACGCCATCGCCCAAGTTTGCAAGTCGCCTAGAATCTGAACGAATAGAGTGTCATACGGTCGCCCAGAGCTGTTATTCTATTCTCCCCCAAACCTTCAAGTCGCCTAGGTATCAACAGGCATAACGCGTCGTGGTTATCAAGAAATACAGTTATCAAAGCAGTTGTTAAAGCAGCCCTATCACGTTCCACGACTCAAGGAATTCAATCGAAAGAGGTTGAACGATGAAAGGTAATGACAGCAGTTAAAAGGCAGTTTTCATGACAAAATGGCCACTACGAAGAAAGTGGGTAGTTATAGGACGATCAAGCAGTTTTTAGAGTAGTTAATCACAAAGAGATCGTCTATGAAGTATAAAAGGGAGAAAGGACATAGAAGCAAGGACCGAATCCAAAACTCTCAAACAGAGAATATGTAATTTTCATTTCCTTAGTTTTTAGACTTAAACACTTTTCTTTCAGTAACTCGTGTGCTTGCGCCCCTTGAAGGCATGTTATTTTTCATTTCCAATTGTAAAGTCATCGCCAATAAAAGAACACTCCTTTTTGGGACTTTGTCTCAAGAGGTTTGTCCGTTACACAATCGTCCGATCCCTTTTAATTGTTAGCGACTAACCCGCGTGAAACACAATCTGAATTCGGTTTCTGTTAGGGACGTAAGGTGGCAGGTAAGATTCAAACTTTCTTCAAAAGTTGAAATGTTTTTACTTTTTTTTTTTTTTTTTTTTTAAATTTTGTTTGGAAACTTCTTTTGATCAAAGCATTAAATTTTTTATGTTTCCCAATCAATTTGAAAAGGTTTTTGTTTGGGACGTTTGTAATTAGTTGTGAGGTGACGGGACCACAATCAAGAAACATAAAAATCATTCAATTTAATGATTTGGTCAAAAGAATATATGATTATTGAGAATTGAAAGTTAAATCATTCAATTTCTTTACAACTTCGAACAATAATTTAATCACCATCATTTTTAAATACTACAACTAGTTGTTGACAATTAAATAAGGTAAATCAGGAAAATAGTTTTTGCAAAAATCGCTTTTTCAATAACATTAAATAAAATTTCTTAATCCGTGTAAAAAATAAAATCAGCATATATAAGTATGATGGAGGAAGTATTATCTAGAATAATGCTATTTAATGCTAGTAGAGTTACTAGTTGACACTGAGTGGCATTAAATGATAAGATTAATTAAATAAATCATATATTTTTTATATTTAATTGAGCTTTTCATTTAATGACACATATAAATATAATGGGGTTACTTGTAGCACTGCATAACATTATTTTATAATTTATCTTTATAATAGACCATCACCCACATATGTAGTAGATATGTGATATATGTCAAGAAATGATAAAATCAATTAAATCTAAGGATATAAGAATCACTCTATTAGCCTAATGTCTCATTATAGGATGATTATTGAAGATAAATAGTTGTTAATTATATTAAAATACTCTACGAAAAAAAAATCATTGTTTTCAAACTTTTTGCATATCCTTGTATTTGTGTCACAATCTCTAAACCATTGCATTTAGAGGGGCATGGTGGATTAAATGGTGCATTTTTTTCCTTTTCTTTTTCTTTGTATACATTTATATGAGTTGGGATTATTTAATAATAAGATCATTATACAATATTTGAAGAATAGTAGGAGACAATTGTAGTTTAGAGAGGATAATTTATAAGATTTAGAAACATTCTTGCGTTCTTAGTTTCTTTTAAAAAATATTAGGTAAATAACAGATTCACTTAATTAATTTTCTGGTTCTCTCCACTCTTGTTTCTCATAAATTAACATGTCAACTTTTTTTTAAAAAAAAAGAAAAGAAGACGTATTGGAAGTATGACACTTGATATGAAAATGACTAGCACTAGGCTAAATTAATTAGTGAAGAAAGATATTATTATGCTTGAGTTAACAGGAAAAAATTCAAAACTCAGCATCATGGCTAGAGTCATCTTCTTCAAACATTTTGCACAATTTTCTTTGTAGATGGCATGCATTCATTGAAATTCTGAAGAGACTTGTGCACAAAAAAATGAAAGTAGTTTATTTTGAATTTTGGAACTAAAAATGAGAGAAACCTTTAGAATATAATACATTTATATAACACGAAAAATAGTACTCATAATAATTCTGCAAAACAATCAATTATTAATTATAGAAATTCTGTGAATCGACAACAAAACTGTAAATCGACCCTGCTATATGAACAGACTCAATGATAGAATTTTTAATAGGGAAACATGTGTTATTTATTCATTGAACAGTTAAAAAAAAAGACATTCATACAGCTTGTCAACAAATATGGTCAAAAGCCCCTATTCAAGTAGCGTTATCCATCAACTGTAAATAGCTTTCTAGTAGCTATACCTTTCAAAGAAGGCTCTACTTAGAAAAACTGTGCCAAATGAAGACTAAAAGTGAGACACAAAAGTCGAATTAAACTTCAACCACTTCCATACTACTAAAGAACTTTTAATATTTTTATACGAAAGCCTGTGGGAGCAGTCCATATAAAAAACGCGCAAGTCTTGAACCAAAGAAGCATCTTGAGAGACGCCACCTTCAAGCTAAACAATATCCTCCACTGCTCAACGTATAGCACTCGGTTCTTCTTCTTCTTCATGACTAATCATGGCCAGAATATACAGCAAGATGGTAAAAGACGTCGCTTAGTACTGTTTCCATTCCCATTACAAGGACATATAAATCCCATGATTCAGCTGGCCAGCATCCTTCACCACGAAGGATTCAATATTATCATCATTCTCACCAAATATAATTGTCCAAATCTATCTAAATACCCCCATTTCGTCGTACACTTAATCCCTGATGGCTTATCAGAAAGTGAAGTTTCCACAGCACAAACTGAAGTTGTGCATACACTAAAACTTCTTAACGACAGGTGTGTTAAACCATTTCGTGATTGCTTGGCTCAGTTGCTATCTGATGATCCTATACAATGTCTACTTACGGATTCTGCTTGGTATTTCGCACAAGAAGTTGCTGACAACCTTAAGATTCCGAGATTTGTACACCGGACAAGCAGCGTCTGTTCGCTATTAGCCTTTGCAGCTCTACCGCTTTTTCGAGACAAGGGTTACTTATATATGAAAGGTATGTTTTCTTTTTCTTGGATATTTAAATCCAAATGTTTTGAGATGTACTTGGATAAAACCAAAAAGAAACAAGACAAGAAAGCGGTAGAGAGTGATAAGAACGAAGGAAAATTTTGCCATTGTTTGAGCCTCGTTGTTCTAAAAATTTATTTTTTCAAAACTCATTTTTAACTACATATTTTTTAATAAAATAATATTACATGAAAAATCAAAACTTTTACTTAATTTTTAATTACACATTCTTCATTAATCTACTATTCAAAATGCATTGTTTCCTCCAAAATGGGGCTCAAACAAGGGCTTGATAAGTGAGTTGATTATCCCTCCATTGAACTACGTAAATTTGTGTCATCTCTTCAATTTACTTTTCATGTTTGGTGGTTTATTTCTCCAACACTTTTAACCTCTCCCTCCCCCAACAACTAATGCAGGATGGAAACGTGAATAATAATAAATGTAACCTGTTCATAACACATGAATGGATATTTACTTGAATTTCGTTGAAAGGAAATGATAATCCACCAACAATTGAAAAATTGAAATGTCTTATTAATTAAGAATCGAATAATGAAACCGAATTACAAAAAAGTGTACATAGCCTTTATAGGCAAGATTATTATCTATTTTTACTAATACTAAGAAATTAAAATAAGGAAACTAATAAAATCTAATCTAATTAAAAATTTTATTCTAATCAATAAAGAAACTATAGTCCTAATTAAATAAAAGATCAAATCTATATCACAACTATACCTAGAAAAAAATAGAGCTAAACACAAGTTTCTCACTATGAAATAATGATTATCTTATTTCTTTCATTTCCTAATTAGTATTGGATTTTCTCTTGGTGTTGTCCCGCGTTAACAACTCTGAACTCTGAAGTCTGATCAGTTCATGAAATAGGACACCATGTCTAGAATTCATTTCTTGATTTATGGAATATAGTAATTTTTATCATCGACTTCTTGGACAGATTCCGAAATGGAAGAACCAGTTTTGGAGCTCCCACCGCTGAAAGTTAAGGACATTCCAACAATTGTGACCCGAAATATAGAGGAGGAATATCAAGTCACAGCTAAAATGGTGGAAGAGACAAAGAAAGCTTCAGGTCTAATTATCAACACCTTTAAAGAACTAGAAGAGCCCGAATTAGCCAAACTTGGTGAACAATTTCTCATGCCTACTTTTGCAATTGGCCCATTTCATAAATACTTCTCAGCTTCCTCGAGTAGTTTATGGACACAAGATCGAACCTCCATATCCTGGCTGGATACACAAGCACCCAAGTCAGTAATCTATGTGAGTTTCGGGAGTGTTGCAACAATGTATGAAGAAAAAATGAATGAGGTAGCTTGGGGGTTGGTTAATAGCGAGCAACCATTTCTGTGGGTTGTTCGTCCTGGATTAGTCCATGGCTCAGAATTTGAAACCTTGTCAAAGGAATTCTTGGAGGCAATTAGTAGAAGGGGATTTATTGTAGAATGGGCTCCTCAACAAGAAGTTCTATCTCATCCTTCTACTGGTGGATTTTGGACTCACAGCGGATGGAATTCGACTTTAGAGAGCATTTGTGAAGGTGTCCCAATGATATGTTCGCCTTTCTTTGGTGATCAGAAGGTAAATTCCAGATATGTGAATGATATCTGGAAAGTGGGGATTAAGTTGGAGAAAGGGCTGGATAGAGTTGAAATAGAAAGTGCGATTAAAAAACTAATCGTGGGGAAGGAAGGGGAAGATATAAGAAAGAATATAATGTGTTTGAAGGAGAAATTAGATCTTTGTTTGAAATCAGGTGGTTCTTCTCACCAATCACTTGGTAACTTGGTTGATTTCATTTCATCTTTCAGATCTCCTGTTTGATCTTTCTCAACTATGATTTTGTTATATATTACTTCCTAATAGTTTGATTGCACATTTTTGTAAATATTTCCAAGCCTAAAAATTTGGTCTTTCTTTGTGTAATGTTAGTGTTTTCTATCTCTATTCTATCTATAGTTTGAACTCAATTGTTACCTGTATGTGTTTATGGGGTTTCCGCTGGACAGTCCAAATCTGTTCAGCTTGAAAAAGTTATGCCGCAGTTCTTTGAATTTCAAATTTACTACAAGTTCCATGTCTTGATAAATCCAGCTCTTCCTTTTCCCAGTATGTCACTTTCTACTCACCCTTTTCTGCATAAATTCAAATGATTAGCAAATGAGAAAATCAGTTTGAATTATATAATCTGCTGAGAATCAGTTTCATACCTGTTAGGGTACTTCACCAGAATCAATGATTTCCTGAATACGAAAATTGACAAGAACACAGAAGGACTAATGGTTCTGAAGTAAAAAAAGGAATCCCCATCTATTCAGTTACATGAGCAGCAAAACTGAAGACTTCATCAATTATTATGCACTTGACAGGCCTTCCACTGCACTTGGCCAATCCATTGACAACATCAGGTTCCGAAACTCTTGATTTAAGCTCATCATGATGTTCAGGGGTTGCTTCCCAATTGCATTGGCCAGATTCAGCATGAACTTGGGATGGACTTGCATTGGCAATGGGAAGATGAGAATGTGTGGTGGGAGTTCTCGTGCTGATTCTTGAATTGATAGAGCACATTTTGATACGCCCTGCAAGCTAGAAATAGTACTAATACAACTTTTTTCTTCACAATATTGGATGGAATAGTTGCAAGTCCATGACATCTAAACTCAAATACAACACAACAAATTGAGTCTTTTGTAAATTTAGGAATTATTACGTGCATTTGTTTTCATCACATCATTTCGATGCAAATATATAGAAGATTCAAAATTAGACAACCACCTGTTGTTAGTTTTGGTCAGTCCCTACAATATACAATGTTGGGGTCTGTCACATGTACGGTGGATAAAATCAATTTTACTACAAATGTTATCAAATACTCAAGGAAGAGAAAATTGGTTTTTCTTCTTCTACCAAATGAAATTTGACAAGGGAAGTAAATTTCAAATTGTCTTCTTCCAGCAATTGTTAAGTTTGACAAGAAAATGAAGTAAAGTTCAAATTATTCCGCCACATATTACTAGTAGAAAGAGTTTTTTCCAACATGTTACTTGTTATCTTTTTTAGACATTTATTTTACATCACGAAATATGCTAAACGTGTTTAGTATGTAATATTATATTAACAACTTGTACAAATACACCTCATCAAATAAAGCTGCTTTCTTGCAACGACGCCGACATAATTGCGAAATGAGATTTAAAAGTTCACTATAATACATATTACTCAATAATATGATAAGACTCCAATTTTACAATCATATAATACCAGCCATGTATCAATCTTAGCATCAAATAATTAGCAGAAGTGTAACTGGGATTCTTTTCCCCTCAAAAGTAAACCTTATGCAAATTTCCAAGCCCACTTTCTGCTGAATAACTTCAAATTGTATGCAAAAAAAAAGATTCAAATGATGCTCATACAATCATTGCCCTTAAAAACTCAATCAATCTGTCTAAATTATCGTATGATGAACCACCTTCACTGATAGCCTTTCTTGCCAAATTAGCCATGTGATCAGTCGTCTGCAAGAACTCTTCCCTTCTCACCACCATTATATCCCTAACCATCTTCTCTATTATCATTCGATCACAAGTGTCTTTTATATCCACTCCAAGCTTCCAAACCTCACTAACAAACCTACTATTTATCGCCTGATCTGCATAATAAGGCCAGCAAATCATAGGCATTTTCACCGTTATACTCTCCAGAGTCGAATTCCATCCACTATGTGTGAAAAATGCACAAACCGCCGGATGGGTCAAGACCTCTTCTTGAGGTGCCCATCCCACCAGGTACCCTCTCGCCTTTGTACCTTCCTCTAGCTCCACCGGAATTTGTCTCTCCCCATCGTTTCCAATAATAGAATCTGGCCTCATTACCCATAAGAACCTCTGCCCACTATTCACTAGCCCGTACCAGAACTCTGACAGCTCGTTTTGAGTTAACTGGGTAACACTTCCAAAACTCACATAAATTACAGATTTTGTCGGCTGGGAGTCGAGCCAGGTCAAACAGCTGAGGTCTTCCTTCCAGAAACTGCACGAAGCACGCAAGATTTTGCTTGTTTTAGCTGCCAACCTGGCCTTCAAGTGGGCATGGAGTGGACCGAGGGAATACAGATTTGGTATATGTTTCCGTATTTGATCAAGAACTGGTCCTTCCAAATCTTCAAATGTGTTAAGTATGAGCGCTTTAGCTTTAATGCTTTTTCCAGTCTCTATTTTGATAGACTGGAAGCCCGGATCATTAACATCATTTACTCTGCAAAACCCTGGAAGGTCACGGCGCCGGAGAATCCCCTCCATTCCTGGCACACTTTTTACCATTGAATCCATCTCTTCCCTTTTCCAATATGTCAATTTATCTTCATCTTTCCCTACACAAAGATAGAAATAAAAATCGAAATACATCAGCAGGACAATCTATCAAACCACTTTTCGCATACCATCCACATGTTTACTTGGAATGGTACCTTTCAGAGGGACCTCGCCTGCATCAATAATTTCTTGAATGCAAAAATATGCCCAGAAGGAGCACGCTGAAATAGTCCTGAAATAAATGTACGGAATTCCCTTTTCTTCAAGCACAGGAATAGCAAAACTCAAGACCCCATCCATGATGACACAGGTGATAGGCCTTCGAGCACCGGCATCACTCAGACAATCAGTGGACTCCATCAGCCTACGGAACTCTGGTCCTCCAGTTTCTTTAAGACTCAACAGGATCTCCAGGATGCGATCGCCAGAACGGGGGTGGTCTTCCGGCAGGCCATCAGGAATGGTGACAAAGCGAAAGCCCGGGTAGCGGGCGAAGTGGGACTTGGCATTAGCGTGGAGGAGGAGACGATTGTGATTGAAGTCAGAGAGGAGCATGGTAACATGGAGTTCGTAGAGGCAGAGGAGCTCGGCAAGCTTGAGCATAGAGTTCACATGGCCCTGCAAGGGGTAAGGGAAGATGAGAATATGTGGTGGGAGTTCTTGTGCTGATTCTTGGTGGCTCATTTCAGTGTTTCGGTGATCCTAACTTGTGATAAAGCAAATTTTGGTTGTCGCTGCAAGCTATGAAGGGGAACAGTATGAATTGTGATTGAACCTCTTACAGAGGCAAATGGACTGTCATTAAATTAGATATCTTGAAATATTATTGGATAGAGCACAATGGTATCTTTAGAATAGGATCTCGGAAACACGCAATTTGTCCCATATGTTACCTCTTGACTAAGACGTAGAGTTTGCACTTGCTTCTTATAAAGGAGTTTTTGGAGCAAAATACCACCTTTTTTTTTTTTTTTTTTAATTTTGAAAACTAACTTTTAAAAGAACTTATTTCGAATGTACTCTTGAAGGAAGTCACATTAGACCTATTTCGTTTAATAGCTCTTTTCATTGTCAAAAACACTTTCATAAAATTAATTAAGCAAGCTAAAAATTCCCTTTTAACTTTTCGAAAATCATGCAAAACGAACCCTAATTATTGATAAAGTAGGACCTATTTGTGTTGCTGCAAGTTCATCGCCTCTCTATCTTCTTGTTTTTCCAACACATCCCACCGTGTCAGTTTGTCTCGTACCTTTTAGCTTTATTTCATCCGTTTTGCTTTTAACAATGCAAGTGACCATCACATGATAAAGGGTAAATCGGGTATAAACTTAATTTCAATGAAAATAAAAACAACAGAAACAGAACAGGGGAAAGAAAGGAGGTAGAAAAAACAAAAAAGGCCAACCCCAGCCCAATATGAAAAGTGTTGAAACAATTAAGCACTTCAGCATTTGTTAGAAGAAGAACAGCTTTTGAGAGAATTTTAAATTTTTAAATGAATAAAATATTTTTTGTAGAATAGAGTTTCAGTTTATTTGAATAAACAAGATTGACGGTAAAATAGCCCTATTACTGTACAAAGATGAACTCACAAATCTTATCGAATAAAGTCATTTAAAAACTTAAAACTAAAGTCAAATAAAAAACTTTTAAAAAAAGAAAAAATTAATAAAGTACGCTTAGAGCTGGTCGTGCATCGCTTAGTTGCGTTTCGACCGCGCTTTGCAAACTTTTTAGAACCCTGCCTTGTAGAAAGATGTGGACTTTGACTCTTGAGTATGTATGTAAATTGTTTACCAATGGAAATAATTTCTAACACCATTGTTGAGTAGTTCATCAAAGATTATTCAAAATCAGACAACAGTTTTTTTGTATTACTTTCAATATGACGAAGATGAGAGATTAATACACATAAGAGAATATAACTCGATTTTTACAATCATCTGGAATTGTCATTTATGAACCCTTACATCCAGCAAAGCAGCAAATCTGATTGGAATTTCCCAGCCCCACAAACTTCCTACAATCAAATCGTGCCCCTTAAAAACTCAATCAGCCTGTCCAAATTACAGTATGAAGAACCACCTTCGCTGATGGCCTTTTTCGCCAAATTTGCCATATCATTAGCCCTCTGCAAGAACTCATCCCTTCTCTCCACCATCATATCCCTAACCATCTTCTCAATAATCACTCGATCACAAGTATCTTTTATATCCAATCCGAGCTTCCAAACTTCGCTGACAAACCTACTGTTTATCGTCTGATCTGCAAAATAAGGCCAACAAAGCATAGGCATTCCCCCTGCTACACTCTCCAGAGTTGAATTCCAACCACAATGGGTGAAAAATGCACAAACCGCTGGATGGGCCAAGACGTCATCTTGAGGTGCCCATCCCACCATGTAGCCTCTTGCCTTTGTACCTTCCTCTAGCTCCACCGGAATCTTACTCTCCTCATTATTTCCAATAATAGAATCCGGCCTCATTACCCACAAGAACCTCTGCCCACTATTCACTAGCCCATACCAAAACTCCAAGAGCTCGCTTCGAGTTAATATGGTAACGCTTCCAAAGCTCACATAAATCACAGATTTTGCAGGCTGCGAGTCGAGCCAGGTCAGGCAGCTTTTGTCTTCCTCCCAGAAACTGCCTGAAGCACGAGTTATGTCACTTGTTTTCTCTGCCAATCGGGCCCTCAAATGAGTGTGGAGTGGACCGACAGAATACAGATTTGGAATATGTTTCCGATTCGCTGATGGCCTTTTTCGCCAAATTTGCCATATCATTAGCCCTCTGCAAGAACTCATCCCTTCTCTCCACCATCATATCCCTAACCATCTTCTCAATAATCACTCGATCACAAGTATCTTTTATATCCAATCCGAGCTTCCAAACTTCGCTGACAAACCTACTGTTTATCGTCTGATCTGCAAAATAAGGCCAACAAAGCATAGGCATTCCCCCTGCTACACTCTCCAGAGTTGAATTCCAACCACAATGGGTGAAAAATGCACAAACCGCTGGATGGGCCAAGACGTCATCTTGAGGTGCCCATCCCACCATGTAGCCTCTTGCCTTTGTACCTTCCTCTAGCTCCACCGGAATCTTACTCTCCTCATTATTTCCAATAATAGAATCCGGCCTCATTACCCACAAGAACCTCTGCCCACTATTCACTAGCCCATACCAAAACTCCAAGAGCTCGCTTCGAGTTAATATGGTAACGCTTCCAAAGCTCACATAAATCACAGATTTTGCAGGCTGCGAGTCGAGCCAGGTCAGGCAGCTGTTGTCTTCCTCCCAGAAACTGCCTGAAGCACGAGTGATGTCACTTGTTTTCTCTGCC